TTCGTTACTGAATATTGATAAGTAGTATGAAATAACATCTGAAAAAGAGTTGTCTTGCAATCGAAAGTAGACCAACTCAATGGATATCGGTACATTAATTACGGATACATGGGAGTTTGTATGAGACACCTGAAATATCATTCACATTCAAAAGATTTTAGTGGTGACCGAGTCGAGATTGACTATGATCACCACTAAATACTAACCCGTCGCAATGAATAAGAATAAATCGAGGGTCAACAATATACATGTAGGAGAGAGTGGACGACATGGGGAACAAGATCTGAATAACATAATCTTCCGCCGCGCTACACACGCAAATTAGTTACTTGAACGAGAAAAAAAATGTGAAACAGGAAGTCTATTCAGTTACTAAATTCTCATATGTACATTCCACGCCATCTTGGAAAAGGAAAATAGCTCTCGACTGATCATTCAGGACATTTCTGATGGTCACTAAATGGCATTATTATTTGGGTCTTCTGATTTACTCATCATCAAACCTCTGAAAACCAAATGAATAAAACACACCTATTCTAGTGTGCACTCGGAATGATTTGTTTCTTCACTTACTAATTTGTCACTTTGTCATAAAATTTACCATTTTAAATCAAAACAATTTCCCACCTCGAGTGAACGTGATTGGCAAGTTCATTCTTGTCCTCCTCCACCTCCTCTTCCTCAGGACGAAGTTGAAAAAGGTGTAAATAACTGAAAGTGAGGTTGAAACGGAGTGGCTGACTTGCTTACCTCAGAGATTCTTATGTATGGTGATCCAGTTTAAGCAGTTAGATTGACTGAGGTCTTAGGTAGAATTCGATAACTGGACGTAATCCCATCTGACTGGTCTCAATCGCTGATTGTCTGTGTCTATGATAAAGGACAGAAGTACTCTTGTGACAATCACAGAGGAATCATGTTAACTAATATTGTGTATAAAATATTAGACTCCATAATACCTTATAGACTAACTAGAGCTCGTGAAGATCAGACTTGAGAGAACCAGGTTGGATTCAGAAATAGATGTGGATGTATAGACCAGACATTCACACTTCGTCAGGACCCAGAACACACTCATTCAAACGTCCCACAGTGTTTCTACTTGTTGAAGAATGTGACAAAGTGCAGAGTCTTCATTTAACCTTAAGCAAAAATCCTAGCATGTTTGAGATGCGATTGTCACCCTCCAAATGCATAACGTTGCTTCAGGATTTGCTTGCATCGGCAGGTGAACTAGTGATAAGGAGTGAAGTAGTTGAGCGTGTTGACCGCCTTACTAATTTTGTGAGTCTCATCACTGCTGATGGCCTGGTATCTGACGAAATCTGAGCACGTATACAATGTGCTCGATTGGCTTTTGCCGACCTGCATCACTTATGGAGTTGGCGAGATATCCGTCTGCTATCCGAAGGTCGAGTCTACTGCGCATCGTTTCGTTCCGTCCTACTTTACGGGTGTGTAACATGGCCAGCTAGAGTAGTGTATATTGGTAGGTTACTAGTATTCGATTATAGGTATCTTCAAAGCATTCCTCGTATATCGTGGAAACATTGAGTAAGCGATGTTGGTGTTACGAAAACGGGTACTAGGTAAGGATGGTAGATCAATTGGTGAAGTAGTGGATGCTGATCAACTGAGGTGGTTGAGACGTGTTGTATATGTCCAACCAACGGTTACGTGAACGAGCGATGTTGTCTGATATAGGGGTAGATTGAATAGACTAAGCCTATGATTCCCATTGCATTTATGAGTTTACATGTTTGTGTGGACCCAGATACTAATGTAGAAGCAACTGGACATTGCAATCAATCGTTATGCAACATGTGCCTATGTGGCTCCAAAATCAGTTAAAGTCAGATGACCCGATGAACGTGCGAAGTATAAAACCATGTTCGTTGATAGCAAAACATATGATCGAAGCAGGGTATAGGATTGACATCAATATAGATTTTAAAACATTATATAGAATGTTCAAGGATGAATTCTGAGGTTTATAAAAGCCTCGGCTATCCGTTAATTCAAAACCCCTTATGTGTAAATAAATAATTTGTCGTAAACTTGACCTGACCTTGGTAACCTTTAAGCTATCTAATGACCTGAGGTCATGTGACAATTTCCTATTCTTCCCATGCTATGTTAATTTTCTGTCTTATTCATTTACAATTATCATTTTATGTTCATTTGAAATGTTATTTTATTGACCTTTTATTAAATTTATATAGAATGCCTCGACAGGTATGTGTGACCAGATTGTTCGAAATATGTAGCCCAAATACACCGCGTTTTTCAAATCAGCTACGTCTTATCATTGTTCTATCAAAACTTCTTTATTCATCACAAGTGGGGTGGAAAATGTGTGTTCGAGTTTTCTGTCCATGAAATGAATGCTAATGGCAAACTGTTCTGAATTGATGATTTGTAATCATTTATTTTGAATTTAACTAGATATTTGCATAGATTCTATTTAATGAGACGTTTACTTATCATTGTTTTATACACACTAATCAGACGAAATTTGGTTATTCTACAGTATACTGTAGTAGAAGTATTTTAGTTTTGATTGACTGCAAGCACATTTCTTTAATGGGATTTGATTTGATGGGTTTTTAATTGTATCATTATCTTTAAGTATGTGACAATTATTTACATCTGGTATTAAATCCAGTGCAAATGGAAGGAAAATATCCTTTACAATATCTGACTTGATTTCCTACCGCGATCCCTTGTGTCGCTGATTTCCATCAACATATTCATGTAGTATGTAGATACATTTTAACCAATACTATCAGACCATAAGTTTGGCTTAGATATGTAGATGACATATTTGTTATCATTAAAAGAAGCCTTCCAAAGTAATGGTTTTAGACTGATATATACATTCTCAGCTAACATCAAATTCACCTTCAAAAACGTTAACAAGCACAGTGTGCTACCATGTTTTGACTGTTCAGCCAAAAATTATGCGAATGGTGCTCCACATTTTACTATCCATCGTAAACCAATGCATTCAGATCGTCATGCTCACTTCAGTTTATCACATCACTTCATTGCGAAAATTCTAACATTAGAAACAGATATACAAAATGAACAAAAGAACGTAATTAACATCTTACAATTAACTAACTCTCCTATAAGTAGTATTAAAAATGCACTGTAACCAAACCACCTATTTTTAATGATCAGTCTGATGTAGGGTCACGGGTTAGTATGATATTTTCGCCTTACCGCTATTGTACTACAGAAGAAATCCAACGAATATTTAGGTGATGCAAATTAGAGCATTCTGTAAAATGGCCAACATTCCTAGAAATGATTTATTTTGAATAAAAGAAAAGAACCTCCTTAGCTAGACACAATTGCGTTTCAAGGCTAAGTTGTTTCGATTGTCATACCTTCTTTTCTTGAGGAACTTCTCGTGTCCAATGATATCTAAACTATATAAATAGACCTAACAATCCTGTATAACTTCAAAAACTACAAGTTAAATCAGTATTAGCATCATTTGCTATTTTCATATGTATGACATACAGAATCGTTACCTAAGTGAGATATATTGATGAATAGTCTTGCTTTCACTGTACTAAATATTTTGTTTTGTTCTACTGTCCTATTAGACTTTTATTTATTGTGAATTACACTAAGTCACAAATTGTCTCTGGATTAGGATTATACAAATACATTTATATTTTATACTCACAATGCAATACTTACAATCTCAGTAATCTAAACCCGTCAATTAAGTCGTTCATCTAATCTTTATTGTAAGAAAACTGATCATTGATGTTCCTGTTAAAATACTTAGAACATAGTTGTTCTTTATCTCCTAAAATAGGAATAACCCTCCATGTTATGTACTGAATTACCATTAGTTTGTACAGACTTTAAAATGTTTACAATGATCTACTGCTACTAATTTTATTTCCCATGTTATATCGAAGAGATTATCGAAAGCTGTATGCCTTTATGCCCTCATTAGTTAAGGATGTAGATGGTTTTGACGTTTAAAGATGCCCTAATCAATTTTTGTGTACAATGATTACTTAACACATGTTTGAATATTTTAAGAAATTGTTGACGCAAATTATTGTATCGAATTAGTCGTAGGTTACATAGTTGTTAGTGGAGTAGTTGTGTCTGATAAAATAAACTCACAATTTACTGAAATAAGTTCAGTTGTTTGTCTCTAATCATGCTTATAATAAAGTGAAATCCGCAGAACTAACTCTCCTGATACTCACTTAAATTCTCATACAACTGAGAACGATCCGTTCCCAGAGATCCAGGAAATAATAAGACAAAGAAATGAAAACAAATAGTATACAGGAGTAGATAAATTTCAGAAAGTGCTGTTGAATTATTGCAAGTAGCTAACAATCAGGTCACACATACCTGTCGAGGCATTTTATATAAATTTAATAAAAGGTCAATAAAATAACATTTCAAATTAACATAAAATGATAATTGTAAATGAATAAGACAGAAAATTAACATAGCATGGGAAGAATAGGAAATTGTCACATGACCTCAGGTCATTAAATGGCTTAAAGATTACCAAGGTCAGGTCAAGTTTACGACAAATTATTTATTTACACATAAGGGGTTTTGAATTAACGGATAGCCGAGGCTTTTATAAACCTCAGAATTCATCCTTGAACATTCTATATAATGTTTTAAAATCTATATTGATGTCAATCCTATACCCTGCTTCGATCATATGTTTTGCTATCAACGAACATGGTTTTATACTTCGCACGTTCATCGGGTCATCTGACTTTAACTGATTTTGGAGCCGCATAGGCACATGTTGCATAACGATTGATTGCAATGTCCAGTTGCTTCTACATTAGTATCTGGGTCCACACAAACATGTAAACTCATAAATGCAATGGGAATCATAGGCTTAGTCTATTCAATCTACCCCTATATCAGACAACATCGCTCGTTCACGTAACCGTTGGTTGGACATATACAACACGTCTCAACCACCTCAGTTGATCAGCATCCACTACTTCACCAATTGATCTACCATCCTTACCTAGTACCCGTTTTCGTAACACCAACATCGCTTACTGAATGTTTCCACGATATACGAGGAATGCTTTGAAGATACCTATGATCGAATACTAGTAACCTACCAATATACACTACTCTAACTGGCCATGTTATACACCCGTATAGTAGGACGGAGCGAAATGATGCTCAGTAGACTCGACCTTCGGATAGCAGACGGATATCTCGCCAACTCCATAAGTGATGCAGGTCGGCAAAAGCCAATCGAGCACATTGTATACGTGCTCAGATTTCGTCAGATACCAGGCCATCAGCAGTGATGAGACTCACAAAATTAGTAAGGCGGTCAACACGCTCAACTAATTCATTCCCTATCACTAGTTCACCTGCCGATGCAAGCCAATCCTGAAGCAACATTATGCATTTGGAAGGTGACAATCGCATCCCAAACATGCTAGGATTTTTGCTTAAGGTTAAATGAAGACTCTGCACTTTGTCACATTCTTCAACAAGTAGAAACACTGTGGGACGTTTGAATGAGTGTGTTCTGGGTCCTGACGAAGTGTGAATGTCTGGTCTATACATCCACATCTACTTCTGAATCCAACCTGGTTCTCTCAAGTCTGATCTTCACGAGCTCTAGTTAGTCTATAAGGTATTATGGAGTCTAATATTTTATACACAATATTAGTTACCATGATTCCTTTGTGATTGTCACAAGAGTACTTCTGTCCTTTATCATAGACACAGACAATCAGCGATTGAGACCAGTCCGATGGGATTACGTCCAGTTATCGAATTCTACCTAACATCTCAGTCAATCTAACTGCTTAAACTGGATCACCATACATAAGAATCTCTGATGTAAGCCAGTCAGCCACTCCGTTTCAACCTCACTTTCAGTTATTTACACCTTTTTCAACTTCGTCCTGAGGAGGACATGAATGAACTTGCCAATCAGGTTGACTAGAGATGGTGGGTAAGCGCAGTGTGACCGAAGGACAGTTGATCTGCTCCCTTAAGTGTTCTCACCATCGATCCAATCTTCTGCATTGACGATGAATAATACGCTCATCATTTTTCGAGATAGTCTCACTCACTCACTCATTCACTCACAGTCAGATTTCTAATATAGGTTTCCTTGATAAGTCTGAATAGTTTCTTACTATTACACATTGCCACTGCCTTTTCCGTACCTTGCTTTCTCTACCCACCACTCTTCGCGATCATTGTGTAGGCTTCTTATCAGCCCTACCTTAAGCTCACTCCGCTCTTCGACATCTTCATAGCCACAAAATCAAATACATCAACAAAGAAAAACAACATTCCAACAAAAAGTTGAAGAAACCAAAGAACATTTATTTTTAATAAAACATGGTTCAGTCGAACACATAATCATGATGGTAAGAATACGAATATAAACCATAGGTATAAACAGCTTCTATTCATAGAAAGACTAGACTAAGAAACATCATGATTCGTCATTTAACAAACATTAAAAAAAGCCGCTAGCATTACAAATGTTCACAATAAATTCAGCTAACACATTCTGTGCAACTTCCTCAAATCATTTGCACCAATTAACCACCTTTCTTTCGTACACAAATTGATTAACTGGTTCTTTTGTGCCAATTGGTAATGTGGCCAAATAAAATGGTGTATCAGCACCTACAACAAATAAAACAGCATCAAATTCTGCTACAAACACTTGTGACTGATGTAATTTTGCTAACCACCCAATCTGCTCGAGTGAATCTACCAATATCCGAACTGCTTACTGACGACATACGTTGACTGGTATCGGGAAAGTACACACATTCCACCAAAATTGATTCCTCAAACATTCAGAAATAACATCGGAACTACAATCATATGTCTTGATATGAGGTGACTTCACCTTTGCCTAAATATACTTATCACCTACCCTACGAAATTCGATCTCATGACTAACCATAGCTGATCATTCAATTGTAATCTGCTCTGCTCTGCTCAATTTATTTCGAAAACGAAATGTGAAGCCCAAACGACTTTGGTACATGCTTACTCTTAGTAAGTGGTTCCGAAAAAGCCAGGCCAATAATATCAAGTGAAGGATTTTTCTCGATAGATACTCAATCACATTGGCTGGGTACTTCACACATAACTTTCAAAGAAATATCTCAATTTTGTGGAGAATCATGAACAGAATCTCATAACACGAAAAAACGAAACTCCACATGAGTTTAGACTCAAGATCAAGGAATATTCAAACGCTATCGTTAAGTGGATATCTTGTTTAGAATGTAGTTAGTAGATTTGATTTTGTGTGTACTTTTCTCTTTATGTTGCAATCGATCACCATATTCAGTAGTTTCAACTCAAATATCAAACAAGAACTCAGTTGCTTCGCAATTTGGTTGTTCTATCAAAATTATCGAAATTTTAGAGAAAAAATATATATTCATACATAAATGTACATGGTTATACACTCACCTTCATCGGTTGTCTTCAATCCTTTATGGTCAGTCATATCAGTGTTAACGTAACCAGGACAACACTGCCAAAATCGCAAAAATGAAAAAATAGAATGATAGCTCCAACCTCACAAAACTATTAAATTCATTTCAGTGTTAGGGAGGTTGTTGTTTTCCATGATCACTATGGAAATCTATTGAACGAGATTTTGAAAATAAAACTAGTCAGTTCCAAGTAATAACAAACTCATAAATAATCACTTCGATGGTGCTATTCATAAAATATGCTTTCTACAATCGGACGGTCAGTTGCAACGTAGAACTCGGTAAGCACGCGCATCATTTCAATTGGCCATAACATATTAGCACAGAGAGATGAACTTGTCAGTTCAAACTCCATAGTTGTAGATATAATAACACTATTATTGGTGACGGGAAACCTTAGGGGTCGGATATGTGAATCGGGAAGTAACGAACCATTGAAGTAAGCTTTTAAAAACGAAAAGAGGATAAAAAGAATATCATGAAGAACTCTGAATCTTAGAATTCGGACCTAACAAGGAGGCTGAGTTAGTGTTGCCCTTAGTGACCAGTCACGTAGGACCTTTCATGGGAAGTTTTCAACGTGTCAATCCCGCTCTTCATAAGGTCATATCGCCACAAACAGTTTCTCGAGGGTAGGTGAGATGTGACACTTCTATGGTCGATCTTTTCTAATCCTTCCCATCCGTGATCAGAAGGCATTATCAATACAGATGCCGTTTGTTCGAGATAAATACCTTACTGATGTCATGCCAGTCTACAATCAGCAGGACGACTTCGACAACCTACCTGCCTTACATGGTAGGACCTAAATGAACCTATGTTTCAGTCAATATAGCTCGTTTGAGTCATCATGATAGGCATGTCTGACCACCAGCAGCTACAGTCGGGAGCTTTCTAAAATCGAGAGAAATTTATTTCCTAAGCACCAATTCAATAATTATGACTAATACATTTCTGGCTCATGACATCCTGAATGACCTCGACTAGTTCAGTTAATGTCTACCTTAAATATTTCAAAGTCACATTATACTATTAGAAAATGGAGTAATGTGATCAGCAACATTCTTGACATAGCTTCACATCATGTAGAATATTATTTTAACAACCTCTGGCTATGATACTAGTCGAAACCAACTCTAATTTAGGAAAATGATAATAAGAGCCATGGGGTACCCACATAATACTAACTATTCTAAATATAACCTGCATAATTTAATTTTGACTTACATATATACACATGTACAATCAAACTTCTGTTTTCAATTTCATACTCGAATGATACTGACCATTAATTTGGAGTGGGATAATAGTCAAAAACCATCTTATAATTAATTACTTTACACAGAGATATTGAGGTGTCAAAGAAGTTTCTGGAGAAACGTTCCTCCAAAACAGCGATACTGTTAACAAATTGAAGATACTTTTAATGTGAGAAAACAGTGATTATTGGTATTCAGTACAGTGTCAAGCGAATTAATAGCATGTGACTATGGACGATATAAATTAGAAAACAATTAAACCACGACCTCTACTACAATTCGCGTTTTTGCACTATAAATTACAGTCTAAAGTGGTACCTCAAGCTCCATCAGTTCTGTAGGAATTCAGATAAGCCACATGTCAAACTCTCGAGCTTGTTTCCGCTTCTACTTATGTGATCGTCATCCTCCCATACTAATTCTTACGCTGTGTATTCATTTAGGCCTATTTCATATCAACATATTATCTTAAGTAGATTAAAACAGTAAATGAAATAGCTGACTCGAATAACTGCGGCTGCAATTTCATACGTGGATGGTCATTGCAGATACGAAACTTCACTGGCTGCAACGAACACTTTGTTATCGATTCAATAATTTAATTCTAAGATTAAAATGATTTGTTCAAAAATAAATACAAATCATCACAAAATTGAAGATATTATAAACTAACCGAATTTACCACAATCCCCCTTGGATCATTTTTCAGCATTTCTCCGAAAATAAATGAAGCCTTTGTAAGGCCCACTTTAGATATCCCGTAAGCATTCGATGGCCAGCCTTTTTGAGAATAAGTACCATCTTCAGCAGACCTAATTACAATTTTGAAGGGAAAATGATTAATCAATATAGCCGAAAGAATTCTATACTGTTCTCTTAATCAGATCACTGAAGTACTGTTACAAATATATTTAAAAGGGAGAATGAATGTGGTGATAACGCGCACACAGTAATTTACTTGACCTCTTATGTAAAGATAAAGAAACAACTCGCTTTACTCTATGCGTGTCTGGAAGCCCTGGTGCTGCTTCCCGGGTTCTTGCTAGTGTAGGTAGAGCATCAGGTTTTAAGGAAGAACTACCTCTCCTAGACTGGATCGCTGTAAATAGTCGCTTGTGCAATGCTCAAGTAAGTAGACTAAGTGAAAAAGAAAGACACCTGGATGGATCGTACGGTCTCGCAGCTCAGAGAACAGACAACGACGACCGTCTGTTGCAGCTATTCTCAGATAACCAACTATTTCTAGCAAACACTAACTTTAAGCAGAAGGAAAAACATCTTTTGACCTGGTGACCCCCAACGTCGTCACAACGCTGGACACAACTAGATCACATCGCTATTAGCCACCGATGGAGGGGTTTGATAGAGGACTGTCGCTCATTCTGGAGCACGTGTTTGGATTCAGGTCATGCTCTAGTGCAAGCGTGTAATTGTTTGCGACATACCGGACGTAGGATAGACATCGCAAACAAACCTTTCAGGGTTCTACCTAACGATAGAAAAGTTATGAATATATCTCAGGAACAACTAGATAAACAGTTAGGCGACTATGTAGTAAGTGATGCCCACCTTGAGACAGCTTGGAATGACATGAAAAAGGCTGTGGAAACGGCAGTGATATCTGCTAGTAAGGTAAATCTTAAGACTAGGAAGAAGCCGTGTATCTCAGTAGCATCCACCGAACTGACAGACCCTCGCGAACTCACCCAATCTGGCTCTGAACACGACAAACAGCGAATTCAGCTTAAGTGCAGGCTGATTAGAAGCCTACGCAATGATTGCGAACAGTGGTGGGTAGCGAAAGCAAGAGAGATGGAAAAGGCAGCGGCAATAGGCAACGGTAGACAACTTTTCCACCTTATCAAAGAAACCGCTATTAGAAACCCATCAGTTAGCTAAACTATCTCAGAAAAGGATGGTCTGTTTATTGATTATCAACCTAGGAGATTGGATCGATGGGCAGAACACTTTAGGGATCAGTTCAACTGGCATTCAGCCACACTTCGGTTGCCCATAATCTCCAGTCATCCTGAATGACAAATTGATATTAGTCCTCCGAGTCTTAATAAAGTCGAAGAAGCTATATGGAATCCGGAGCGAGGGCGAGCAGCGGGTCCTGATAGATTGATCCCTGAGATTTGTAAAGATGGCGGTACAGTTTTAGCAGTTAGATTGACTGAGATCCCATCTAACTGGTCTCAATCCCTGGTTTTCCCAATTTATAAGAAAGGACAAAAGTCTTCGTGTGACAATCAAAAGGGAATCAGTCTAACTAATATAGTTTCTAAATTGTTGGCCTCTATTATACTTGGACGCCTAACTAGAGCGCATGAAGAGCAGACTAGAGACAACCAGGCTGGTTTCCGAGCTGGACGTGGTTGTATGGACCACATCTTCACACTACGACAGGTTCTAGAATAAAGACACACGTTCAGACGCCCCACAATAGTAGTATTTCTCGACCTTAATGTGGCATTTGACTATGTCGATTGTGAGCTTCTGTGGCAGTGTCTGTCATTAAAAGGTGTACCGAAGAAGTACATTAACCTTATACAAGTTCTCTACTCGAACACTACTGGTCGAGTGAGAGCTTATGGCGAACTTTCATCGGAATTCTTTACGTCAAGCGGTGTTTGTTAGGGCTGTCCACTCTCTCCATTCCTGTTTGACTTTGTCATATACATGCTTTTAGAGTTAACATTATCATCGTCTGACTTCTCAGGAGTGGACCTTTTACGTGTAGACAAGCTTGCTGACTTAGAGTATGATGATGACATAATACTGTTTGGTGAAGATGATGACAAAATGCAGAGTCTTCCGACCACCCTAAGCAACAATGCCAGCATGTTTGGGTTGCGATTCTCCGCGTCGAAATGCAAAATGTTGCTTCAAGATTGGGTTGCATCGGCACCTGAAACACTGATAGGGAGTGAAGTAGTCGAGCGTGTTGACCGCTTCACTAGTCTGGGGAGTCTCATCAGTGTCGATGGCCTGGTGACTGACTAAATCTCAGCACGGATACAGAAGGCTCGATTGCCTTTTGCCAACCTGCGTCACTTGTGGCGAAGGCGAGATATCTGTTTGCTGACTAAAGAATGAGTATACTGTTCAGCAGTTCGCTCTCTCCTACTTTATGGTTGCGAAACATGGCCAATCAGAGCAGAAGACATTAGTAGTTTATTAGTATTTGATTATAGATGCCTTCGAAGCATTGCTCGAGTATCGTGGGACAACCGAGTTAGCAATTCTGTCGTTAGGAAATGGGTGCTAGGTAAGGATGGCAGGTCAATAGACGAAGTAATGAAACTTCATCAGTTGAGGTGCTTGGGACATGTGTTACGTATGCCTAATCACTGAATGCATCGTCGAGCTATGTTTTGCGATATAGGAATAGGTTGGAAGAAAGTTGAGGGCTGCCACACCAAAACATGGCAGAAATTCATGAAGCTACTGAAGAAGTGGACTGAGTCATGTCGGTAGGTGTCGACTTCCTGGTTGGGGTCCGCGAGTTGAATGTCACCGATGATTAGACACCTTGAATGTGACATGACTCAAAATCGTTTGCAATGGCACAGGTGCATTCATTGAATGTGTTCTCTCAAATTCTAAATTTCTCAATTCCTCGCCACCCCTAACTTCCTCTTTCTAAAGTTATCTGACTGAACTGTATTTCTCAAACTATATCTTCGAACCCTAATCTTCTCCATTACAGCCAATACATCTACTATCTCTACGACTGTGGGATTTGAACTGACAATTGCGTCTCTGCACTAATGCGGGATGGCAACCTGAACTGACGTACGTACGTACAGAGTTTTACGTTGAAATTGACTGACTGACACAGAATGAAGTTCATACACCTCAGTGACTAATTTTTTGACAGCACGGGTAGAGTAGAAATACTGGTCGCCCGGATTACTTACTATAAGCTGGAACGTTTGAGAAGCAAGGAGTTAGAACCATAACATAGTCTATTCATGAAAACTTCCATTAGTTCTACTGTTTATATATTTACTCTAGAATACTACTGACCAAATAAGCTCGTAACATGAATTATTCAAGAAAAGTAGAGTAGAACAGGTAAATCCTGATAGCATGAACAGCACAATTAGAGCACCAAACCTGCGTTAAATGCTAGTAAAAATACACATGTAGTCTTAGAAGACCTCAAGAATGAAGGATTTAAGTCTACAAAGTTAGGTTGGCTTGGAAGACTGATGATGAGAAACTAGTTTGACCATTATTACAAGAAATTATGTGAAACCGGAAGCACTGGAAGTGGCCCAAATATTTCAGTGGTAACGTCGTTGACTGTGAGGCTGGGTTACAACGCCAGCGAATCCTCCAGTCTAGGTTTTATTATCTAATATCTTCAACCATAGTGTACGCCATGCAGTCACAGACTAGTAGCTATATTTCAACTTTATAGAATTCGATTGGCACTTGACTTCGGTAACCATCTAGTGATCACTCAATCAGAAGCACATCAATTCCAAGCTGTACATGCAGTACAGCAAAAAGGTCAGGTACATTACTGATGTAGAATATTTAATCTGAAATCCATTTTATTACCTTACAAACTCCGCCATAAGTTCCTTCAGTTCGGAAAGGCTCATTTGTCCAACAAACTTGTTGTACAGGTCATTACTGAGCTTTTTCAACACGAACAGAGACAGACTGGCAGAGATATTGACGACTCTTAAGAGTGTGAACTGGTACTGATAGCCTACCTAGCGTTTTCAGCTAGTACAGGGATGAACTCTTCTGTAAAATCAATGGTTGAACTGAAGTTGGTGTTCACTAAACTACGTGCTTGATTACCGAATGGAACCGTAGAAGTGGCCTACAAAGATATGTCAAAGTAATAAAAAAACTTTGTAGGCAATCCCAGCATTATTCACTGCAATGTTGATTCCATTAGGATAGTTTTTCTTTACAAATGTTAAAAATGCTTTTCGACTATTTCGATCCGTTATGTCTAGTTGATGGAATTTAACATTCAGACCTTTGCTACTTAGCTTCTTTACAGCTTCCTCACCAAGCCCGATATTTCGAGCTGCTAAATTATTGTTTGACAGGCGCCTACCTGTAAGAAACACATCCCAATCTCCTGAGGAGCGGTATAGTTTCGAAAGTTTTTCAACAATACTGAATCCAATACCCTTATTCGATCCAGTTACCTAAATTAATGAAGTATAACGTCTTTGTTGCTAAAAAACTCATCAAACGAATGCCAGTTTCATGCCAACCACACAGTCAACCAACGATGATTAGCAACAATCTAGATGCCCTTCAAAAAGTAAAGTCTAATCCAATATCCAATATCTTTTTCACAAGCTAGTTTAAACCATTCGATTCTTTTGAGTTCGATTCCTGTTCTTTCGGCATGGTTCCAGGTTGGTGAGGTCTTCCCCGTTTGGTCCTTTTAGAGAACGCAACCCTTGATTAGTAGGTTTTCTTTTCGACGTGAACCTAAACAGATTTTTCGGAATTGCCTCTATTTTGGCAGCTAGCTTCATATGAAATTGTCTTCTGTCGCTTCGAACTTTGGTATTGCATGTGTTTCTCAATACCAAGTAAGAACTGCGATCGGAATCCTTCAAGGAGACCTTCCCCTTGTGCCAGGCTCTCCTCTTCGCCTGCAGCAAACAATCAGTGCCGCGCCTAACCCAGGTTCTTCTGTTCCCGAGTTTTCGGTGTGACTGAGATACATCGTCTACGACAGCATCCTGGAAGGTATCTCCCACTGTTTGCCAGTGATAATCTACTGTCAGTCTCCACCACTCCCGTGGCCATGGGGCATGTAGTAGGACCTATCTCATGCGTATGTAGTTTACCCTATTGTAACAAAGGTAAGGCTCGTTATCGTCCCGTGTGAGTGTTTCGTTTATGACCATGTTACACAAGACTGTGCCATGATCACAACATCCTACTGGTGCGCGGACGTGAACATCTTCAACCAGGAGCTGGTCATTAGTTAACAGATAATCCACGATTGAGGAATTCCCTTCCTTAGTCCACCTAGTGGCACTGCATACGTGCTAAGTCAGCCCAGAGCTTCTTATGGCTGTACCAAGTTGCCTTTGGAACCAACCACTAGGAGTTATACTCTGATTGACGAGATTTAAAGATGGGGTATTGACATCTCCACCAATATCCAACGTCTTGTTCTTTCTGCACGGTTCCAGGTGTTTGGTAGTGTCCATTGTATGGGGGTCTGACCACTAGACTTTCTAATTCTAGTCAGTTGGCAGTGGTTTGTGAGTTTGTATGTCCCTTGATTTGAGTGAATACATTTGTTTCAGGACAGTAGGGTTTCTGGATACCAGCAGCTATCACATTACCAGACCGGAGATCAGTTAGTCACAATGTGGAGAATAATAAGGAGAAAATTCTAATGCTGATAAGAGTAAGATTTCAGGACTAAGTAAATGATATACAATTTATTTTAATAATTGGTGGTGAAGATTTTGCGAGAGGATCGAAGTGTAAGCAAGGAAGAGGAAACGGAGATAATAGACGAGATAGATTAAGTGATCGATCTGAGGAGATGGCAGTATTATTGACTAGCGAGTCTCAAGGCCTGCATCAGGCACAGTTTGTCCACGAGGGAGATGATGATCCGTATGTGGTTACGTTTTTATCAAGTCTTTTCTTAAAGCTATCCACTGAGGGGGCTGTAGTCACCTCAACGGGGTGAGCATTCCAAGTTGCAATGACTCTTAATGAGAAAAAGTGTGCACGAACTTGAATATTCGCTCTTTGATGAGCAATTTGTCGAGGATAACCTCAAGGGGCGTGGTGGTGATGCATCGGTATGATGCTCACGCTGTGATGGTTTGGCGTGCTTAACATGTTATACGCCATTGTCAGATCATCTCTAGTTCTCCTGTAACTCAGGGGGAACAATACCCAAATGCTGGAACCTATCCTCTTAAGTTCTGTCATTAAGCCCTACCACCCATTTTGTTGCTCGTCTCTTCACTCGATCCAAGAGGTTTGCGTTCCTTTCAAGGAGAGGGGGTACGACGACGTTTTGAACCTCAAGGTGTGGGCGTGCTTTGTCTGCGTCTCCTATGTAGTTCGAGTTGGTGTGTAGGCTCCCAGTCGTTATCAGACCGAGATCGCGTTCTGAGGAGACATCAAGGAGCGGACTTCCATTGAGGGTGTATATCGTCTGTGTCATGTGGGGCAGAATGTACATGACGTGACACTTCGTTTGTTTGAGTTTTAAACCGTTGTTCACTGCCCATTCTTCAATGAAAGTAAGGTCCTTTTGAAGCTCAGTCGAATCCTTTTGGATACGAACGACTTCCCTTTCCGAAACCCGTTTTTAGCTTCATGGAATATTTTCTTCTTATCCACGTACTCCCTTATCTGTTCGTTCACCGGCCATTCCATTACACTTGACGGTACTGGTAGTAATGCGACTGGTCCATAACAGTCTTGTTCCTTTATATCTCCTTCCTTTGAATATTGGAGAGAGGTAGTAGTTTTTTCCTCTCCACTGAGAGTTGGTGTGTAAGAGTAAGTCGAATATTCCCTGGGTTTGCGCTATTCTCTCCTCTTCGCCCATAGTAAGCATTCAGCATAGATAGATGAGATCTTCAACACAAACTTCACCAGTCAGTTAAACCAAGTACGTGAACGTTCAGCATACTGCTCTAACTGAGTATCAGCTGATGACCCAGGGAATATTCGACTTACTCTTACACACCAACTCTCAGTGGAGAGGAAAAAACTACTACCTCTCTCCAATATTCAAAGGAAGGAGATATAAAGGAACAAGACTGTTATGGACCAGTCGCATTACTACCAGTACCGTCAAGTGTAATGGAATGGCCGGTGAACGAACAGATAAGGGAGTACGTGGATAAGAAGAAAATATTCCATGAAGCTAAAAACGGGTTTCGGAAAGGGAAGTCGTTCGTATCCAAAAGGATTCGACTGAGCTTCAAAAGGACCTTACTTTCATTGAAGAATGGGCAGTGAACAACGGTTTAAAACTCAAACAAACGAAGTGTCACGTCATGTACATTCTGCCCCACATGACACAGACGATATACACCCTCAATGGAAGTCCGCTCCTTGATGTCTCCTCAGAACGCGATCTCGGTCTGATAACGACTGGGAGCCTACACACCAACTCGAACTACATAGGAGACGCAGACAAAGCACGCCCACACCTTGAGGTTCAAAACGTCGTCGTACCCCCTCTCCTTGAAAGGAACGCAAACCTCTTGGATCGAGTGAAGAGACGAGCAACAAAATGGGTGGTAGGGCTTAATGACAGAACTTAAGAGGATAGGTTCCAGCATTTGGGTATTGTTCCCCCTGAGTTACAGGAGAACTAGAGATGATCTGACAATGGCGTATAACATGTTAAGCACGCCAAACCATCACAGCGTGAGCATCATACCGATGCATCACCACCACGCCCCTTGAGGTTATCCTCGACAAATTGCTCATCAAAGAGCGAATATTCAAGTTCGTGCACACTTTTTCTCATTAAGAGTCATTGCAACTTGGAATGCTCACCCCGTTGAGGTGACTACAGCCCCCTCAGTGGATAGCTTTAAGAAAAGACTTGATAAAAACGTAACCACATACGGATCATCATCTCCCTCGTGGACAAACTGTGCCTGATGCAGGCCTTGAGACTCGCTAGTCAATAATACTGCCATCTCCTCAGATCGATCACTTAATCTATCTCGTCTATTATCTCCGTTTCCTCTTCCTTGCTTACACTTCGATCCTCTCGCAAAATCTTCACCACCAATTATTAAAATAAATTGTATATCATTTACTTAGTCCTGAAATCTTACTCTTATCAGCATTAGAATTTTCTCCTTATTATTCTCCACATTGTGACTAACTGATCTCCGGTCTGGTAATGTGATAGCTGCTGGTATCCAGAAACCCTACTGTCCTGAAACAAATGTATTCACTCAAATCAAGGGACATACAAACTCACAAACCACTGCCAACTGACTAGAATTAGAAAGTCTAGTGGTCAGACCCCCATACAATGGACACTACCAAACACCTGGAACCGTGCGTGGCAGAAAGAACAAGACGTTGGATATTGTGGAGATGTCAATACCCCATCTTTAAATCTCGTCAATCAGAGTATAACTCCTAGTGGTTGGTTCCAAAGGCAACTTGGTACAGCCATAAGAAGCTCTGGGCTGACTTAGCACGTATGCAGTGCCACTAGGTGGACTAAGGAAGGGAATTCCTCAATCGTGGATTATCTGTTAACTAATGACCAGCTCCTGGTTGAAGATGTTCACGTCCGCGCACCAGTAGGATGTTGTGATCATGGCACAGTCTTGTGTAACATGGTCATAAACGAAACACTCACACGGGACGATAACGAGCCTTACCTTTGTTACAATAGGGTAAACTACATACGCATGAGATAGGTCCTACTACATGCCCCATGGCCACGGGAGAGTGGTGGAGACTGACAGTAGATTATCACTGGCAAACAGTGGAGATACCTTCCAGGTATGCTGTCGTAGACGATGTATCTCTCAGTCACACCGAAAACTCGGGAACAGAAGAACCTGGGTTAGGCCGCGCGCACTGATTGTTTGCTGCAGGCGAAGAGGAGAGCCTGGCACAAGGGGAAGGTCCTCCTTACATCTACTATCTCTACAGGGACTGTGGGAATTTGCAGCGTGACAATTGCGCTCTCGTGCTCGCTTAATGCGGGATGGCGAACCTGAACTTATGATGAAGTTCAGACGTACGAAGCTTTACTTCGTAACTGACTGACTTCGAACCAAACTTATCATTATTGTTTGAGCACAAGCATTATTACAAAAGGGCATCTGCATATTTATTTACCATACAAATTAATGAATTTGTGGATTTGCTGGGCTACTTCCCGTGGGGCCAAAACTGAAACAGACTTTTTAGAAGGCCACACGCCAACCTTTGACCAAAAGACGTAGTCCGTAAAGCTTTAGAGCAACTTCAGGATATAAAGTCACATGGTGGCGAACGACCAACTATAGATTCATTTGCCATTCGTTCAGTCAATTTCCTCGAACCCATGTTCAACATTGGTTTGGAATCAGGGTTTCCCAACTCCCATTGATGAACCTCCATACTCACCAACACAGTTAAATCGATGGACACTTCACTTTTCGTCCTCTCAATTTTGTAAACAACACCCCTGCTATGAGAAGGCAGTGAGTAGGACTTCTCGGACAGTGGCTTTGTATGCATGGCCATA